TACAAAACAGTCATCTTGGAGCACATAAACTGATTTTCTTGACTAAAAATAATGAGACCTTTGCTTTAGTGTGGATGGTGTAATGAAAAATGGCCCTACACTTGAGGGTCATCTGACATAATTGATCTTGTCCCTTCTATTAACATCCATTCTGCTTATTTACAGTATGTAGGAGTTAAACAGGTGTCTGTGGCTGACTGTCCCTTTTTCCAACCTTTATCAGATAATTTAGTATGAGTTTGTTATTTTATTGGTGTAGTATTTTATAGTATTTATAGTATTTTATTTTAAATTTCAAGTATGAAGCCAAGACTAATGAACTTCAGTTGAAGATTTCGTGTGATCTGCTGATTACTGTTTTTCATGTTTTTTTCCTGGAGGTTTCTCTTTTAAAACGTCTATGGAGTTGCTGTGTTGTCTGAAAATAATGCTTTGCAGATGAGTTAATCCAGCTATTCCATTGAAGTTTTTATGCAGTAGCAATTCAGTGCTCATTAATACACTGCTTCTGTGGATGCAAGGATGCCCAACAGAAACTAATCTTCATCTCCCATTACAGGTCCTTCAAAAGGACCAACTGTTCAGACAAAAAAAGTAGGAAAAGCTGAAGCTGTTCTGACATGGAACCATCTCACAGTGGATGAACAAAATGGGTTTATCAGAAGTTACACCATATTTTACAAAACTATCGATGGAAATGAAACAGGTAACAGAAAGCAGGGAAGTGCTTTGTGGCATTGAAGTATTCCATCTGTCGCCTTCCTAATACATGTTACTGAAAAACAAGATACAGAATTGAGTGTGGCTGACAGTCTGTTCTGATGACACAAAGCTGATGTCTGAAGCATAGCTCTCCTTCACACTGAACAGAAAAGACCCAACAAAGAATTCAGAACATTCAGTGTGTGTATAACAGGGCACTGAGTTTAGTTTCTGAAAGCTGATTTGCAGGTATTGTGCCCCCATCTTACTCTCTCATCCTGTATTTAGATAGAGGTGTAGCAAGATGAAGCTAGACCATTCAAGAAGTAAAGGAGTTGACTGCATTTAAGTATGAAAAAGCCCTAAAAAAAAAAGGGGGAGGGGGGGGATTTCTTAATCCTCCTGGAGCTCTAGATCAGTATTAGTGATGTAAAACATCTTGTTTGAAGTGCATTTTAGTTCTCAGTAGTGTGTATGACCTGCAGGCATAAGACAGGAGCTAGCGCTATCAAAAGTTTTTTCTTTTTTAGATTTGCTTAAATTGTAAGGACCAATTACTTATGCCTACCCTACTTCTCTTTATTTCTATGTAAATTTATGTAATTTATGTAATGTAAATTTATGTTATTTCTCTTTATTTCTAATGTAAAAACATTAACCATGTTTTTTTCTAGTTAGTAACTAGCTACTTCTAGTAAGCCATGTATTCTGCTTATTAGACCTTTAAGCCTCAACTTTACTACTAGTTTTAGTTTGTAGCTACATTCTGGAGGGAAAAAAGCCACAGGAAATTAACACAAAAATACCATCAAGAAAGAGACTAAATTCAAACACTTGAACAGAAACAAATGAATCTCAGCATTTCTTGTACAAGTGTGTAGTCTTTCTGTGTCTGTTGTAGTTTTAGTAGAATGCATGGCTGTATGGCAAATAACTTGTACATCTGAAGACATGATGTCCTAATGCTACTGTGTTTGTGGAGATCTAATAAAATGTACAGAAAACTAGCATAAATTTTTTCCTCTCTTCAGCTGTGACAGTGGATCCTTCGAAGACAGAGTATACACTTTCGTCTCTAACCAGTGACACACTGTACACTGTGCGGATGATGGCATACACAGATGAAGGAGGCAGGAGTGGTCCTGATTTCACATTTACTACACAAAAATTTGGTAAGGAAGAGTGGCATAATTAGTAGAAGTGAGAAGTAATGTTGCAACAGTATAGCAAGGCTCTATGCAAGATCTGATAGGAGGGGAAGGTGATTTTATTTAAAGAAAAAAGTTTCAGTCACACTCACATGGTGCATGATATCCATACTATCTATCTAGTACCCAATCACAAAGAGGTAGTTTAGTCAGGATTTCTTCTGATTGTACAGAGGACAAGCTATCCTCTGCAGGTCTCCTGGATAGCTCTTTTATGTTGGCAAACGTGCTGGTTTTGGATGTGTTTTGTGTATACTTTAAGTTATAGCATTCTTTTGCCCCAACTTTGTGTGAGTCATTAGGATTTACTCATTGCCCTTGTCTTCTCTTCTGGCATCTCATGGCTCCTACCCTGGTCTTAGAGTCCAGAGTCATTGTTTTAATCTGAAGGTAGGTTGGCCTTTATCCTGATACGGGTGTCTTGCGAAGCTGCAGAGGTGTGCTGGGGTCTTGATCTGCTAATCTATGTGCCAGTCAGCACATGCTATTCTTACTGCCCTTCCTCAGGTTCCTCATTCTCATTCATACCACTATTAAAGTTTGCTACAGTTCTCTACAGAGACTCATTTTGAAGAGTTAAATTTATTGTATGTTCAGCTTTAGAGAGTGCTTCCTATTTGTAATGGTAAGAGCAACAACATTAACTCAACTTAGTTGTGGAAAGCACTTCTTTAGATTTAGCAGTTTTTTGTATTTTTTTTTCCTGTATAGTGTTGCTCTTCCCTAAGCATTCTGTTAGGTTTACTTAAGAATGTGTATAACATTGGAAGGAATACATAACAGTAATGCAACCTTAAGTGTTTGCAGGCAGAGGATATTTTCATGTACAGAATAAACTGATGGATGACTAGTGACTTTGCTTGCATTACTTATTTGACCATGATGTTATGGCAGCCAGTAGGCCACTGAAACACCTGGACCACAGAGGAATTCATACAGATGTTACTGTCATATCTTCCCAAACTGTAACATTACTTGCTCCATCAGTATTACAGCTTCTAGAGCAACAGCTTCTGTGTTTTTTGTTGATGCAAGGTATTGGATTGTTGGGACTGAGTTTTTCACGTTTTCACCAACAGGCTCTTTTCATATGGTGAAAAGGTTCTTCTGAAGGTGAAGCTTAAGACTGAGCGCTGTGGGTGTATTCAGTTTCAGATTTTCCCTGTCCCTTTGGGAATAGATGCCACTGCTGAGTTCCTTAAATGCCAAAGTGCGCTGTAACTACTTCTCTTAATTTTCTTCAGGGAAGGGGGAAATTGAAGCCATAGTTGTACCTGTGTGTCTAGCGTTCCTGTTGATTGTGCTCCTTGGAGTTTTGTTTTGCTTCAACAAACGTGACTTGTAAGTATAAATGAAGTCTTTCTCTTATGATTCTGATATTTCTGGGCATAATAGAGAGATGGCAATAATTCAATACAAACAAGTAAATATTCTACAGTTAGATCAGAAAAAGAAGGTAAAACACATACATTGGTGATAAACATTTCCTTGACAAATCGGGGCCTCTTCTGATACTAATTTCTTACTGTTAACGATTAGCACAGAAACTACATGTTCCATGACTCAATCCTGCAAGGAAATTCCTGCTTTTCTTGCTAGAGTTGGTCAGGATTAGATTTATTAAGTTTTTATCAGGATATACAGTCTGTGTTGTTTTCTTAGTTATCATATCAGAGTGGAATGATGGTCCCTAGTTTGTGAAGCACAGAATATCTGTTTGCTGGCCATATTTTAGCGATTTAATGAGTGTTAGCAAACTTCAAGCTTTATAGCCAAAAAAATTACACAGACATTTATCTACCTTGCATAACCTCAGTCAAACTCTGTGCCTATTTACTATCTGCTGGGAAGCATCCTGCCTCCTCCTGCTCCCTCTACCCCAGAGCTCTTGTCTGTAGCTTTAGCTGAGAGCTTATTGCTGAAGTGTTTTCCTTGGCAAGGAGTAGCACCTCTCCCATGTCCCCAGTCAACTATCTTTTCTTTCTAGTTAAAGACAGCATTTTGTGCCCTTTTCCTTCTGACCTCCCTGCTGCTCCTAAAATCAGTTCTTAATGGGTATCAGTTGAAAAGCCCATCTTGCAATGTTCTTCAAAGAAGTTCTACACAGGATCTGTTGTTGGAACCTGTTTATAAAGAGCAGGATAGATGCATCAGTTTCAAAGTTAGTTTGGTTGGGGGTGATTTGTCTACAGAAACTTCTATTGTTAAGTAACAGTTATTACATTCTTAAACATAAGAGTTCAGAGTTAGAAAAGACCAAGTTTTTCTTCAGATATTTTCACTTTATTTTTAGCTGTGAAGTTGGCTTAGATTTTGACAGCTGTGGTATTCATAGTCATCTTAAAGAAGCAACAGTGTATTTTTATACTGACATGCATCATAGACTTCACCTAAATAATTGCTCTGTAGATTCTAGAGTGCTATAAATTTGAAAATCCCTCACTAACCATTACTGTTTGTTGGTTTGCCTTATGTTGGATGGCTACATTTAATGTGTGGAGGAGTTACAAGTGCAGTGCTGTGTTTTGCTAAGTAGTACAGCTTCCTACAAAGATGTGAAGAAGTGCAGGAAGCATTCCTATTTGGTAATAAATACTCTTGCAAAATTGCTGTGTAAGGGAGTGGTATCCTGGATTATGTAGTACCTGCTATCAACATAGGAATTTGGGGAGTGCATCTTGTAATTTCACTCTGTTTTTAATCCTTTACAGAATTAAAAAGCATATCTGGCCTATTGTCCCTGATCCATCCAAAAGTAACATTGCTCAGTGGTCTCCTCAAGTTCCAGCTAAGGTAATACTCATGTTTCTGCATCCTGTATGTTCCTAATCCACAAGGTTTCAAATAAACTAACCAGTGGTAGTCTTCTGTCTTCTAGCACACATGGATTTCAAGGGAAAAAAAACTGGATGTTAAGTTTAATGACATTGTGATACAATATGGTTAGACTTATTGCATCAGTAGATTCAGCATTAGAAATGTATGGCCCTTAGCACAAGTTGACAGCATAGAGCAGGCTTTAACATTGTGAATTATATTCAGTTTACTAGTTGAAAGAGTCAAGTCCTAATTATTTTACTCATTCATGGGAAACCAGGATTAAGTAAACAGGATTCATGATTCCCACTCTTAAAACCCTGAAGTGACACTTAAGTCATGAATGAGAGAGAGCGCTTTAAGAGTTCCTCATGGATGAGGAGATGGCAGCAAAACTTATGCACCATGTGGGGTGAATGACATAGCCACAGTTTATTGAACAGAATTTGCTTAACTTCTGTGAAGAAGTGCTGTGATGTTGAACATATTATTGGAAGTAATGTATGTATGGCCTCAATATAGAATGTTCTTGTGCTGCACAGCAAATGGTTCTATGTTTACAGCTCTTAAGAATAATTAAAATTAGAGCAAAGCTTGCACACCCACTATGGTTTTAGAATTGCTGCATAATTAAGACTTTGTATTGGAAACAAAGCTATGTTCTTCATCTTGTAACAGGTACTTTGGAGATATTGCCAGACTTAGTGAGGAGAAAACTTATATGAAGAAACTCCAAACAATTACAGAATAAAAATTCAGATATTTAATGGGGGTTTTGATTTTTAACATTAAACTTCCTCTTAGGCAACATCCATCTCTTTCTTTCAGCATAACTTTAGTTCCAAAGATCAGATGTACCCAGAAGGCAGCTTTACAGATGTAAGCGTCGTAGAAATAGAAGCTGATGACAAGAAGTCTTTTTCAGAACAAGATTTAAAACCCTTTGACTTGCTTAAAAAGGAAAAAAGTACTTCAGAAGGGCACAGCAGTGGTATTGGAGGATCCTCCTGCATGTCTTCTCCTAGGCAAAGCGTCTCTGACAGTGATGAAGGTGAAGCTACACAAAACACTTCAAGCACTGTACAGTATTCAACTGTAGTACTTAATGGCTACAGAGACCAAACACCTGTACAAGTCTTTTCAAGGTCTGAGTCGACTCAGCCACTGCTAGATTCAGAAGAGAGGTCAGAGGATCACGCTGGAGGAGGTGACAGTGCAACACAGAGGCAGCAGTATTTCAAACGAAATGGTGGTCAGGATGAAACCAACACAGACAGGCCATGCTTTGAAAGAACAAAGCAAATTACTCCTGCTAATGAGGGGGATCTTGTTGGATTTGCACAAATGCAGATCTCAGGTCAGAGTTCACAGCTGTTGGGCACTGAGCTGGAAAAAAATACCCAGGAAGCTGCTCTATCAGATGTTTTACAGGCAAGTACTGAAGGACAAACTGTGAGACCTGAAACAGTGGAGGGAAGTCCACTGTCAGTTGATGAAATGCCAAAAAGTTACCTCCCGCAGACTGTGAGACAAGGGGGCTACATGCCTCAGTGAGAGAAGAGACTGGCTCTGTTTAGGCCTTCCTTAGTGCCTGTTCACACTTTCTCCTGTGTTTCTGATAAATTAAGCTAGTTTTTCTATCTGAATGCAGATAGAAATACTGAAATTAAGTGAAGAGTAATTTGACAAAGTACAGTAAGGACTGTGTTTTTGTGGAAAACTTGCAGTCCAGACCTACTGGAGACTTACTTTTATGCACTACATAAAATCTTATGTCGGGATAGCTGAACAAGCCTTTGTGCTACCTTGGGTTTTTTGTCTTGTCATACCAGATCTACACATGACTGAACATGGCAAGTTTCAGTTAATTACATCAGCCAATAGACCTAGAAGAAATACTTCGATTTGTAACAGTGTACAAGCCTAAAAAGCCAGCTTTAGTTGCCTGGAGCATCTTTGTGCAGAAGTAAGACTGAAGCTTAGTATTCTAACGTGAAAGAATACTTGTGTCATATACTTTTCAGTAGCTTGATTGACTTTCTGAATTTTGACTTGGCCCAGTGCCTCAGTTTCCAGCTTACCAGACATGCAAATCATGTTCATCCCTGTTGAAAAATTATAAAAATTAAATACAGCTTGCTATGGTGTGCAAATAAGAAAACACCATGATTGCTTGACTGTGAGCTACTATAGTAATTGATACTCTGCCTACATTTAGATATGTGTGCACGAGCTATATAATGATTTGGCCTAAAAATGTACCTTGCAACTTGATGCACAGCAATTCAGTCTCATGTTAAAAAGTTTAAAAATACAGATGAAAACACAGATTAACAGTTATTTAAAGGTTTTGTACCCAAATCACTGTCTGATTATACCCTACCTCTCTGGTCATATAAATTGCCTTTGTTTAATAAGTGCACCTTTGCTGTATACAGCTTGAGAGGCAAGTAACAAGCTCTAAGTTTTTACCGTTTTTCTAACTGCTCAGGAGAAAGGGAATATGACCTTCTTCCTGGTTGACTACAATGATCAGTGTGCTGTAACCTCACTGCTAATGCTGCAGGACCTCCTTGAAACTGAAAGCAGCAAAAAACAAAGCATTGAAGTCATTGAAGCGCTCAGAAGCAAAACCAAAACTTACACCCTGAATTTGAATGTTACTGGTAGTATAGGCTATAGTATATGTTACTATAGGCTGTATCTATTAGCAATCTTGAGCCACAAATAACACTTACGTGGTTGTTAAAATTCCTTACTTTTTTCTTATGTCTCACTTTTCCCCTGTTCATACAGTGCATTTTATTGAAGAAGATACATTTCTTGGAGACTGTCTCTACCAAGGTTTAAAGAAAAATGAAATTAATTAAAATCAACCCATTCTCTGATGATAATTAGAAATTTTATGGCACTCTTGTAGATTTTTTTTTAACCTTAACTTAGTCTAGTCAGCTTTCTAACCTGACACTAATAAAACCTTAATTCAAAACACTATATGCTGTGTTGTGAGAATAAAACAATGGTTTTATTTCTCCTTCAGCAAAAGAATGTATTTAAGACCACCTGAAACCTTTTGTGCTGTGACCTCTGGTGCTGCTGTTCTGCAAAGCACTTGCTAAAGGCCCTGGAAAGGCAGGTGTCAGTATCATTTCAACTTCCCTTGTCCTTGTATGCCAGCTTGCATGAAAGGACAGGTATATATATAAATGTTCACATGTGCCTTCTGTTACAAAGAAATTCAATGTTTGAGTAAGTTCATAAGATTACCTCTTGAAGTCTGGACTATTTAAAACAGAGTGCAGAATCTTTAATAACATTTCAGTATTCCACAGTTCCTTTGTCCCAACAGTATTTTTTGTATCTGGGCACTTTTTTAAACTAAAAGGCTATGTTGCAGCTTACTAGAACTACATGTTTCTTCAAACCAGTCCCCTTCCTTTTCTCCCCTCTCCACCTCAGCACCTTCAAACTCCCTCCCAGAGGGCAAGGGCATAATGAAAACTATGCTGTCACAAGACAGCAGAGACTCTTTCATGTTTTCAGAGGTTGAAGGAGTATTCCTTTGTCAGAACACCTTCCTCTTGGAAAATAATAGCAGTTACTTTACTGGGGGATCAGTTGTCTTCTCTATGCAAACTTCATAGTGACTGTAGAAACCATGAGTAAAAGGGAAAGTCTCTGACAAGACTAACAAGTGTGTGTGCTTGTTAGAACTGCCCTGCAGCCACGTGCATCTAATCCACCTCCTGCTCATCTCTGAAATACTGTGGGCCACAACCTAGCTACTTAGTCTGAGCATTGCTTCGAAGGCCTGGATGTTTTCAAAACCATGCTGATGATTTATTTCTTTTATTTATTGTTTTTTGTGATCTAGTGATACTAACTTTTGATAGCGTATGTCATATTTGAGGGACATCTTCAGTTATTCCTGAAGTTGCTATTTGCCTTTCTGTTATGTAAAGGGAAGGCATTTTGTTCTCAGTTGCTGTTAATCATGGACCATTTCCAATGTTAAATAAACAGCATCAAGAGATTCTCATTTTCAAAGGTCTGTGCTAACAAGAGTTCTGGCCTGTCACTTCTGGCATTGCTCTTTCTTTGTTGCTTATGGGCCAGTGGTAATAAACTCTCAGAATTGTACAGCAGTGTATCCTAGAGAGAATTCTGTCTGTCTGGCAGAGTTATATTCTATCTTTCAGGCTTGTGCATTTCTCTAGGGCTAAAATACTAAAGACTAGGCAGGAGATACTAGTGGGTGAACAGCTTGTAGAAGCCACAATACGTGTAACTAACAGGTTTACAGCTTGTTCGTAAACCTATGTGCCAAATATTATATCATGCAGTGTTCAGGTTTAACTTGATTTTGTACTTTGGATAGTAACAATCTAATTGTATCAAACAGTCGCATACAGGTTTTTAGAGTGTCTGTGATGTAATTACAGCAATCCACTGAAATTCTCTGAACTTGGCCCTAACATAGTAATTAAAGAAAAAGCTTTCCCCCTCCCCTAATAACTATGGTGCACTTTACAAAATAAAGGCATTATTAAAATAAAATCACACTTCAGTATTGACATTTTCATGTCCATCTTGATTTCCTGGACTGGAATTTTTCAGGTAGGGGTGGGAGAACAGTTGTAAAGACCTTGTTACTTTGGTGGCAGGGAAGGGAGGCTAGTAGAAATATAAAGTATTTTTCCTGTATTAGCAAGTTTGAAACATCTCTTAAGTGCAGGCTGGCTAACTGCTCCTCTGTTGACAAGAAAAGTGAATATATTTATCTCTAGTTCTGTTATGGTGGTTCTGTTAGAACAGGAGGTTGTTGGGGTTGTTTCTGGGCTGTGTTGGCTTGCTTTCAGGGCAGTAAGTCTGGGAATATCCTCTCCCACTGTAGTGACAGTCTTGGGATTACGTTTTATATGCCCTACTGTAGTAAATTAAACTGCCTGTTAAGCCTTAACCTGGCAGTGCAAAGCACAGCAGAGCAAAAATTTTTCTAAATTTCATTCTGGAGTGTTTGTGACAAGCATGTGCCTATCTGTGCTACAGGAGCCTAGCAAAATGCTAATTATCAGGACTGGAAAAAACTCTGGCCCTGGGAAGAGGGGGGAGTTTGCATGCAAGGGCTGAGTCCTGTTCTTGGGCACTGATGAAGCCCCATGGCCTCAGGTGGGGTTCGCAGCTTCAGCTTTGACTATAAATCATGAGCACTGCCAGATAGTTAAAACTTACATTAGTGTGCCTGATATGTGGGAATCACCATGCTGATTTAACTTCAGTAATTGAACTTGTTTAATTAGTGCCAGGTCTTGAATATCCAAGATCTCATCAATACATGCTGCTATGGAATTGACTTCACAGTGGGATCTGCAACTCCAAAGACTCTCAAATTGTTAATAGTCAGCCCTGCTCCAGGACATACACATTTTAAATTGTAATTTATGTGCATTAAATGAGACTAAATATACTAGTTTATTTTCACTGAGACAGTTGTAATTGAGATTAACTCTTATTTGTATACATTCCTTTAACTATGTTAAAAAGTTCTCCTGACTGATGGATTGTAAAACTTCATTAATCCCTGTAACCTCTTGCCTGTTTGCTAGGATGTATACATGTAGCCATTTTAAATTCCAAGAGTTTCTTTTAATGTTATTTGGAAGCAGTTTATAACAAAAATATTGTCTCTTGTCATGAAACAGCCATTTGGGAATTAGAGCCAACCCCCCAGTCTTCAAGTTTAGCTCTTGATCCAGAAAGCTGTGGTAAAGTGGAGGTATAAGTGCAAAAGTCTGGAGAAGGGTAAAATCAAGTATCTTGCATTGGATTCACAAATACGCATTTCTCTTGCTTAAAAGTGAAAGGATCAGTTAAAAAAAAATGAAGCTAAAACGTGTATGTGTGTTTGCTTTTACTGTTGTTTCCTTTGTAGCACTTGTGCAGTCTGAGCCATTCCTAAAAATGAAAGCAGTGCTGACTTAGTACACAAGGATGCATTTTTAAGGCCGTATCTTTTTGTATCTGTTTTTATACAAACAGATTTAAAATTAATGACTAAGGACCAGATCTCAACAATCGCCTACTTCCCCCCTCTTAATTTTAGTGCAGAGAGAGGGTGGGCAGTAAGTATCTCTCAGAATGCAGCCTTAGCCAGTACTTGCGTTTATTTGCAAAGGCAACCTTAAAGGGGATATATGCAATAAAGTCACTGATACTCTGCAGAAGCACACTTCTGTAACAATGGATGAAAAACACATATGGCACAACTGTCAGACGGCTGGAAAGCTCCACATCCTCCTGCTCAGACTGAAGCGTCTCTGGCACCCCGCACCAGCTGTTCTCCAGTGATGGCAGGCGCAGCAGATGAGCATTCTCCGCGGTGTTGAAACTGGTAACACCTATCGCTTTTCTTCATATCAAAGCACATTCGTTAATGGATCCAGTCAACTTACTGTGTTTTTTAACACACCAGTCTTGTTTACAGTGTCACATGTAGCCCGACACTCTGATACAGCGATGGATTGTCTAGGAACCACGTGCTTTTATTTGGGATTAAGGAGTCTGTGGTCAAGGTTACTGGTCACCGAATGTTGCTGTGCTGATACATGCATCTAGTTAAGCGGAGGTGTGGGACACAGGGACAGACGTACTAACAAGGAAAGTGCCTTGATGCTGGATTGGATGGCTAGTGAATGTAAACATTAAGTCAAATTTTACTATGTACTTAAAGTATGGCTGATAAAGCTACTGGTAGTTTGAATGCCAGCTTTAAAGGGCTTGCATACTCTGGCCAGAGGTTAAACATGTAAATTGCTGCATAAGCTGTCACTATATGGAAATGTGTTTTAATACCAGTACACTTATGTTCATTCTTTTGCAAGCTGCATGTTTATTGTCATATAAACTCTGCTTTCTACAATTTACTTTATGGTCAGTTTTGAATGTCCTCTTTGTTACCCAACTGAGCCTGAATGTTGCATTTGTCTAATGCATAATACACGAAAAGAAAACAAAATGCCATACTTGCCTTGCGTGCTGGAGTCAGTGCTTTGTAAGGCTGACTTAAGTAGTAACCACAGGAGAAGAGTCTGGGCACTACCTAACAGGCAAGAAACAGAGGGCCATTCCCAGAGAGAGACATGACCACGGTGTACCAGGACAAAGGGCTGCCTAGTTGGGTATATTGGGCAAGTTCAGCAGCAGGTGAATGCTCTCTAGTCCTCCCTTTGTAATTGCTCCTGTAAATAGGTGTCAGCTGTGGCTGGCTGACCTTGGTGGTGAGGCAGGTCACTGTCCCAGGGGGCTGGCTCTGTTCCCCTTGCTGGCCATGGGTGTGTATGTACGTTCTGCGCTCCGGTGTCTCGCCAGGGAGGGGGTGGCTGTGTCTGCCTGCAGCTTGTGCTCTGAAGAGGTAGGACTGGTGCTCCAGGCAGGCCTGTTGAAAATGGGAAGAAGAGTGTCCAAAAATCTCGTTCTAAGGAACACTATGGGAGTGAGGAGCAGGGTATAATGCTGTCTACTCACACAGACTAATTTCCAAGAAAGGAGTCGCAGACCTGGCTATGTCTGAGATTGCCCTCAGTCTCACCTGGGTTTGGTTCTTTTGTTTCTAATGGGTGAAGGACCCTCACAGGCCTTTAGTGAACTTACATCTCAGTACTGAAAAAGCACAGTTGGATCTTCAAAGGATGGTCACATCCGTAAAAGGCTTCAAGGATGGCACCTGAGGAAAGACCGCTTCCCCTTCCTGGCAAAAGTTCTGATTTGTATAGGCAGACTCAGACCCACATAAAACTGAGGGGGGCGGGAGGGGGATGAGGGTGTTACATCATGTGTTGCCTCCAGCACCAAAAATCATTTCTGTCACTGCCGCAGAAGAGCCATCCCAGACACATCATGCCAGTTAGCACTTTGCTGTTAAATTAGGTGCAAATATAACACTAGACTCCTTTTCCAAAATGTTAGTTCACTGCACAGTAGTTCACTTACCACTTTCACGTAAGGCCCCTGAAGTTTCTACAGGAGCATAGGGTCTGCGTGTCCTCCTCACCTGAGCTCCTAGCTGCTAAGCATCAGCCCATTTGTGCTTCACAACTGCAGGGCGGAGCACATGCAGAAGAGGAGGCAGCAGCTTTGTCCTTATAGACTGCCTTGCTGCTGGCAGAGCAAGATTGCTTCCCATAACTGTTAAAATAAACAAAGGAAATAAGGCTGGATGGTGAATGACGGGAATGCTTCGCTTTCCACAGGAAACACATACTTGCACAGTGTACACATCAGAATACCAGAAGCCGCCAGGTTCCTGGGAACAGCTCTCCATCCCCATGGCTGGGGGCCAGCAGAGCCCACAGAGCAGCTGGGGACGTGCCTAACTGCGTGCTAGCCCTGGGGCAGCCCGGGTTTGTCCAGCCAGGTCAGGCACTGGGCAGCAACACGGCACAACAGCCTCAGAACAAGGCAGAGACGCACAGGAGCCCTGTCAGCCCTGCGCACCTCCGGGTGATGTGTTTGGAGGGCTGCTGGGAGATTGCAGCTTTGTTTTGACCACTGATAATCACAGTAACATTGAACCTCCCTGCAAAAGCATCTTACCTGTGTTTTGCAGACATTTATGCTGTTCATGGGAGAGCGATCCAGTGCCTTCCTGACTTCCCGGTGGTCTCCAACTACCACAAAATAACTAGGAGAGCCAAAAATATCCCTCCCACCCCCTACAACTAGCTAGGAAATTCCTGGCTCAGAGCACAAGTGACCCAAGCAGGAGGTACAAGATGAAATTCAGAGGGAGTAATCTGACTCTAGGCTCGCTTGCAAACATGGAAACACACTGTGCACTGGTGTGGTAGGCATCACACTGGCTTTGCTTTTACGATAGCACTTAAGTCACACTGCGGGTGTGGGCGCTGAGCTGGGTCAGGGGCCAGCGACAGGTTTCAGTGAGGGGACAGCTCTGCAGGAGCCGTTCACCTGTATCCACGAGTGCTCAGCTGGTCCTCTGCAACTGCTGTTATCCTGAGTGCACAATGTCATGCAGCAGGTTCTGGGCACCAAAATCCCAAATAAAGCTCCTCAGAAAATGCTCTTCAGGGCTGCAAGTGCCTGGGGCACTCGTTACCTCCAGGATGCAGCTATGCAGCAGACTTATGCCAGCAAAGCTAACTGGGACCAGTGAGTGAGCACCCTGGTGCTGGGGCTGTGGGCAGGAGCCTCGGCATCATCCGGGGACCCAGAGCACTACAGATCCGCTGCTCTCAGCAGCGCAGCATGGCCCCACTCCTGGCTTTCCAGGTGCGTTTCTGGGAGGTCCTGGGCAGCCCAGCCTGGCCCCAGCACCCCAGGGCCCGTTCAGCCCACCGGGGCCATGGCAGCAGGTGGCAGCAGCATGTCGCCTGTAACAGCCGGACAGGCTGACTGCTCCAGCCCCAGCTCCTACTTGCAGCCAAAGCACTCATATTTTTTTAATATTTCTTTTCTGACGGTTTAGCTCAGTCCCCTTGGCTTCTCTCCTGCCTCTCCTTTTGTCGGCAAAAGCTCTGACCCTTGTTTTGTGCTTCCATCACCCGTGATTCTGAGTGGGACATTAAATCCAGACCCTTGGGCAGGCTCAGTGCCTGCGTGCTGCCAGGCAGGTCAGCGTCCCAGTGCCCTCTGGCACGTGTCCATGTCGATCAGGGCTGCACAATAGCTGGTCCACACGAAACAGGCCCAGATTACTGGCTCCTTGTCCCTGTGGACCAACTAACATGCTGGGCTTTGCTAATAGGAAGCCTGTTTCATGCATTGCTACAGGCTGAATCACCGCACCATCCAGATAAGTAGTCACCACTGACCCTCATTTGTTACCAATATTCATTCCCATGCACTATGGGAACAAACACGGGGCTCTTGAAGACCATTTCTGGACCAGACCTGTGGCAGCAACTCTTCCTGCTTGAACGGATGCAGCTTTTTCCCGTTTTTGAGGAGATTCAGCACTGTGGCTGTATGTGCACCAAAGAGCCACGGGGACCACCCCACCATGCACACAGCCTCTCACCACCACCGCTGCAGGACTCGGTTATGGATGAGGCGAGGGTGCTATTTTGGTACTAATATTTGGTACAAATTTTCCTAGGTGGGGGTACTATAATAACCTTTAAAACATATTCCAACTGCCATTTGTCATGTATTACGTGAAGCTTACCCTGTGTTGAGTCAGAAACGCCTGAAGAGGCTGCCTCCCTCCCTTCCCATCTTCCTCTCCCAGACATTTATCTGGCCAAGCACTTGCCAACAAAAGCAGATGCCTCCAGAGCCTGCTCAGGGCACAGCTCTTTCAGAAAGTCCCTGTTATGCTCCATTTGCTGCATGCATTTTTACTCATCTGTTTGCTGGATGTCTTCCTTCTTTAAGTGAAACTAGTACCACTCCTGTCTGTCTGTGTCAGAGAGCCTTTTCATTTTATATATTAATATAAAATAATGCCGTTTAGGTAGATCATGCATAGATACATATCTGTACATGAAAGCAAACTGAATCATTTCCTAAGTATGAAAAATAAAGGAACTCGTATCAGCCTTTAAAATTAGCCTGAATGCGATACAGGAAAAAGGTCATCCTCCGTGAGACTGCAACATGTGGAGTAATTTCAATAAAAATCTCAACATAGAAACATCAACAATAAACAAACACTGCCAGAGCACAAATCCCTTTAAAGGCAGTGAAACTGAGACTCATCCACAAAAGCTGCAGTAAGTGGCCATTTCAGCGAAACCACCGAGGCGAAGGGCTCCGCGGCGGAGGATCGCGCCGGGGGACCCCTCCTGAAGCGGCAAAACCGCGGCAAAACCCGCGAAAAGCAAAAGCGCAGGGGGTGAGAGG